GAACTTTCTTATCAAAGCATTAACTTTCCAAACTTCATTCCTTATTATTGACACACCATGCTCCTGGGTAGTTCCAAGACAAGGAGCTGGGGATGTTACACCTGGAGAAAAGGAGACTCAGGGGTGACCTTATCACTCTCTACAACTTCTTGAAGAGTGGTTGTAGTCAGCTGGGGGTTGATCTCTTTCTCCAGGCAGCATCTAACAGAATGAGAGGACACAGTCTCATGCTGCGTCAAGGGAAATTTAGGTTGGACATTAGGAAAAAGTTTTTCACGGAAAGAGTGACAAAGTACTGGAATGGTCTGCCCGGGGAGGTGGTGGAGTCACCATCCCTGGATGTGTTTAAAAAAAGACTGGATATGGCACTCAGTGCCATGGTTTAGTTGAGGTGTTAGGGCATGGGTTGGACTCGATGATCTTGAAGGTCTCTTCCAACCTAGTCCTTCTGTGAAGACGGGTTCTTTGACTAATGTTGAAAAGTGTTTCAGCATTGGACAGAATCTCTGCAAATTGCATTGACATTCTTCTGTATTATCTGCCTCATATTTTCCTTCTTCTGACTAGAAATCCACTTCAAACAAGTCTCGTACAAATATTTCTTTACTGATGTTAAGTCGCAACCAGCTATTTAACAAGTTATTGCAGTTATAGGATTAAGTCATGTTTCACATATCCAGAAAGATGCCTCTTTTGAAAGTTGGCATAAAGCTTCTCATATGTAACCTCCTTGTATTACAGGGGAAAATAGGCTTTGAAAACTGAAAAAGAAGTTTTTCAATAGAGGCAGTAATGAAGCATGTCGTTCTTTGACTGTCCATTTCATATCTGAATTGTGATGTTACATTTTCCTGTGTCAAGTTTCTTACATTCTTCTATTACAGCATTTTAAGCTATCTTCTGTATTCCTGTCTGGGATTCTGCCAGTTTTGTATGCAGTAATTTGGCCAGTTAATAAGAAGTGCTGATTGCCTGTCTGTCCTCTGCTCTTGGCCTCTGTGTAAACTCCACAAAACACTTCACCTCACAGCAGCTGATAAGTTAAACCAATGACTGTGACCTTGTACAGGCTCTGTGGAAATTCAGTATTTTACAGTCTTGCTTTTCTGACCGATCTTGTAAATGTTCAGTAGCTCTCCAAATTCTGAGTGGGAGAAAAGGAATGGAGCAAATGGACAAGAATGTATCTTTATATTCTGATACATAATAATTATGGGTGCATAAGTTTTATTTTCTTTGAATCGAAGACCTAATCTTACAAAGTCAAATTTCAAAAAAACCAAAAAAGTGTAGTAAAATGTTTAAAATCATGTTCTATATTGGATCAGCTCTACCTCTGAGGAAATTTATTTTCCTTTTCACTTTTCTAGAGGCTCCATTTAGCTGCTCAGCATTCAGTTTTAGTTATAAATATACCTATCTATTTCAGATTACAGAAAAATGTGTAAGCATCCTAACCAAATATGCATCGAGTCCAAATTCTTTTACTATGACTCAGGTTTTTTTGACCTATATAACACTGATGTGAAATGCTAGAAATCAGAATCTTAGTACTGGAGACTAAATTTGCTCTTATTTTTACTCAGATGTACTTTTTTCTTGACTCGTCTGTGTGGAAAAATGTATCCACATGTCTTGCAACATGCAAGTATCTGTCTTTCAACAGTAGTTTGCATCAACCTGTTGAATATTTGAGAGCAGCAGGAGAACACATTAATATAGATTTAAACATCTTAGCTTTACATGATACAACCTTCTTCTGAGTAATTCATTGAGTTACCAAGCAGGGACAATGCCATAAGACTCATGTGACTAATGTAAAACATTAGCAGTAAATGGTAAATGGTTGAAGCAAACAGTTGGCAAGCACTCAGATGCTAAAAGGCAGAAGTTGAATACGTTCAGTTGGGGTAGACTTTTGCAGTTAAAGTACAGCAAGCAAGGAATATGACAGAAAGCAACATTATGCCAATGAATGAAATGTTAATTAACTATCTTTTGGAAGAATTTCAAAACCAAAATAGTCATACTTTCAGAGGTGTCTGCTCTAACAGACTTGCCTTTAATTTCTAAATTAAGATTCACCTTTAATTTCTAGCTAACTGTTGGTGTTGGGTACAGTTTGACTCAATAAAAATTAATGGCAAGATTATTTAGATAATCCTCAGTTCCTGGAAAAGATGACTTATTTTCACCAGCAATATGTAGTTTTACTAGTAATGTATCTGCAAATTTATTTTTCTCACTAGTAGCCATTGCAGACATTCACCAGTTATTTGGGTTTCACATAAAGAAATAGGATAAGTAGTTCTTAAATAATTATTCAACCGTCTGGAGATGATGCTGCTGAAATATTCAGTCAGCACAGCATTAAAACTGGGGACAAATTTATTGTAAGCTCCGTATCTGTCATTTTGCTATGTGACTAAAGGACCCATAAATTGAAGACATAATAATAATAAAGACTTTGATAAATGTGGTTTGGGGAAAGGGAAAATTATTCCTTTTAAGGCAAGTTTGTTTGCTCAGAGAATATGCCAACTATTATGAACAAAGAGAAGGATGGCAATTATCTGTCTTAGCCTTTTATAAAGTCTTGCATTACACTCACATTTCAGAAATTAAATCAGCAACAAAGTCACTAAAATACTTCAGGGAGTTTCTAATACTCTTGGTTTGAGAAAGGAGCAGAAAAGCCAAAACCTTTTCCTAGATTACTGTCACCTCATCTCTAAAAAAATGAAAATATTTAGTTCCAATTCTTTTTCCTACCATGCCTTTTACTATGTCCTGAACTTCAAAAGTAAAAATTAAAACTTTTGCAAATTTCAACAAAACTGAATGTAGGAAGAGAAAACTGCAGGGCTGACTGATAGAGCAGTCACAAGAAGATTTCATACCCTGTTCCGCATAACAATCCATACAGAGGGTAAATTTTTTAGGAACAGATAAACTTACCTTCTTAAATTCAAGCCTGAGTCAGTCAATCACAAGCCACAGCAGCACTGGAAATCAAGATAGTTTCCAAAGTGCTGCATTTTCTGTTTTATGCCTCTTACAAAACAAACTCTCTTCCCTTTCCTGAATTAGTAATTAAGTGTCTGAAATTTGAAACCCAGAAAGGGAAAAACAGTCATGAGTCTGTTCCCTTTTTCAGTTTTTCTAGAAGCTGCATGGATTTAAGTGCAACATTTAGGCTGCCCTTCAAAAAATCCAAATGCTGGTGTGTTTATGACATCTATTCTTACATAAATTACTCTTAGTGCTTTAATTTCCCAAGCTTGAATTCATCCAAGTTCATCTTTCAAGTGTTGGAGATTCTCATGTCTTTGTCTGCAATTCTGAGCACTCCCACTATCAGATCTCTTTTACTTGAATGAGGATCTGTGCTCTGATTAAATCACCTTTGACCTCTGCAGATGTGCTAAATTGATTGAATTCTTTAAGCTTCAGATAATAAGACTTTTTCTGATTCCCAGAACCCTTTTATGTCCATTCTTTGAGCTATCTTCAGTATTTTCATATTTGTCCGGATGTAGACACTGGCAGTAGACAATCCTGGCAGATTGTCTACTAAGTCAAAATTATTTCCTTACTTTGACAGTCTTCTCTCACATGGACAATGCCTTCTGCTCCCATATGAGACTAAAATGTTGCATTAAGGAGCTTCACTGATGATTTCAGGTAGCTTTCTGGATACTTACTTTCTGAGGTAGTGTCCTCTTCTGTAGGTATAGATCTAGTTGTCTCCTTTACTACTACCCATAATGAAGTATGTAAAAATACATTTTGGTAGGTTGTGACCATTTCTTTTTATGATTCGGGTAACTGATCACTTGTCCTCATTAGTTCCAATTTCACACCTAAGTACATCTAGCATACAGTTCATAACACAGTCTAATTCATACATTTAATAAAAATTTCTGTGTGGAATCCCAGTCAAAACAGCTCCAATTACTGATCCATTTACACTTAGAAATACTAGGTTTAATCAGCCTTTAATGTGGTTTTAAGCTTTTTATTATGTGCTATCTTTATTTTCTACAAGTTTTTAATCAAGACATGGTATGATTCAATGACAAAACCCACTTTATTAAGGCAGAAATTTCTCAGACTGAGCTGCATTCCTTATAATAAATATGTAACTAACAGAGGCATTTTTATGAAACTGAATTTGATGTAATTTGTTGCATGTCTGACCTACTTTTAGTTACCAGTATGAATGCATACTTTGCATTGTAGTTCTCTGATCTCTTTGATGATAAAAAGTTAACTTAATCCAGCTGAATTTAACAAGAAAAAAAAGTTACTGGTTTTGCTGGAAAAAATTTCCCTTATGCCTTGTAAATTTATTTGTCCAAGGAGTCAAACTTTAAGTTATAGTGGATCTAGTCCAGTGTCATTCTCACACAGGCTTGGGAAGAAAAGGCCAATAGCAGCATATCTCTTACAGGGGAAAGCATACTGGAGGAACAGGCAAGGCAGCTTGGCAGTTCAAGATGTGTATAAATTAGCCCCATGGTAACTCAAGAGCTCTTCAGGGCTGTAAACATAAATGCCTCCTGCAGTTTTAGGTGCCAAGCTATTTGTTACTGGGTGCTAAAAAATAGCCCACATCATGTCAAAACAAGATAAGCCTACTCTTCATAAAGTAATGTTACACACACAAACATGCATATATCCAAACACCCACAACCTGCTGGAGAGTTTCTGAACAAAACAATGCACATAAGCACATATAAATACTGTGGTCATCCCAGGTTTTCTCATGGACTGAGCTTTGTTTAGTGACTGAGGTAGAGACATAGGGATCAAATTTGTAGGTTCCAGTTACTTTTTCTGTGTCTATTCAGGACATGACTTTCGAGTATTATATAGCAGATAATGAAAAGGCAGAAGGATTTAACTCACTTGAGTAATCCTATTTCCTAACATTCATTATCAGTAACTTCACAGCTGCTGTATGGCTTACTTATTAAAATAAAAATTAGGAGGAGAAATCTGTTGATGTCAGATTTATTCTGAGTAGCAAGACTTACCACTGACATATCTAGGTAATTAGAGGGGGCCTTTTACAGAAGGTTAGAACTCAAATATTATACAGTTTATTGCTTGTCATGCTGAAATGGGTCTTGGCCAGCGCAAGGAATTTTCTCAGTAATGTTCTGCACTGATGTTATGATACTATGCAGAGATATTTGAATAGTTTCTCTCTTTGGAGTCCTCTTATTTTCTCCAGATAATTATCTTCCTTTATTCTGTCTGTCCTGGAGTGCCAGTTCAGTGATTGATCCTTAACTAAGAATAAACAGATGAATGGTTAGACAGAGCCACACTTTTTTCTGGGGAAACATGTAGGTGAGTACAAATTTCTGAACAGGTATGATGTCAAGCATATACTTACTGATTTGGAAGTAGCATCATCAGATACGTAATTTATTTTTCTTTCATTCTTCTTTTTTCTGAGAAAAAATTGGTTTTTAAAAAAAATAATATACTCCGTAGACCTATCTAGTTGTCCTTCTGGAAAGAAGAAGAAAGAAATTTGAATTGATTCAGCATAAGTTTCTTTGCTGTGTATTACTCACTCTTCTGAGAGTGATGTCCTGAAGAATAAAGGTCTCCAAGGTCCTTCATCCTAGACAGACATATGAACAAAATATGGGAGGTATGAACAAAGTAGAGGTGATACCTTGTCCAAAAACAGTCCTACACATGGCTTTATGGAAAGGCTATTTAGCCTCAAGCTAAGTTTGTCACTGATCTTTGCATTAGCACAAAAAAACATTAAAGTGGGTGCAACAAAGCCTCCCTCATCTCCCTTGGTGCTATGTTTACATTTCAATCTTATCTGACAGGCAGGTGCCATTCTCTCTATGTATATTCAACTATGTCACTTACTGGTGTTTACAAAGTAAAGTGTATAGATGACAAGGAGAACATCTTAGTTATTTAGGTAATCAAAAAACTGCATTATAATGCTTCCACCAGGCTGATTTCCTTCCTCCAGGATAGCAGAACATTTGTCACCAGCAGGATTTAGACAGGTTTTTATAAAAAATACAAAACTTAAAATTTAATCGTCTTCAGTGAGCATCTAATTCCTACTGCAAAAGAGAAGAAAATTATAAACCAGAAAAATGCTTTGTTTTCCTGGAGGGAAGAGTATAATAGAGTGGACTTGATATGGTAATAGAATTTTCTCCAATATATAACTCCTGCATGTCCCCTGTGGTTCTATAAAAACATTCCTAAAGAATGTTTCAGTAAACAAAATAAGAGAATGATAATGAAAACCGAATTAGTGATCATTTGGACAGCCAGCTGTTTTGGGTTAATGTGCATGCCAGTTTTTGGGGATATTCCTTCTGGTTTATTTGAACATACTTAGTTTGCCATCCTGTCAGATGTTTGCAGTCTAGTATACAACAAAAACCACCAGAGTGCTGTGAGTGTTTTTGGACTGCAGTTCAGCATCCTCACAGCTGACCCACAGCATGCAATATCTGATAATGACTGATTTGTCTTAAATGTGTTCATTAAAAGGAAGGAATTTATCTCTTATTAGCCTCTTCATTGACTGCTGTTTAGCAAAAAGAAATTTAGTGTTTTGAATTAGCAAGGCTTGGGGTAGTGAGTTGGGAGTAATGTTTTTTTGGTATAAATCTTCTGATCAGGTTAATTCAAGCTTGTTTTCAAATAACATAAATGAAAATTACATGGAAATATTTCTTAATATGACATTTTTTCTGATCCAAACATAAATGTGTAACATCTGTCACCACAGAAAAAAAAGGCTGATGTTGAAGAGGTGTGGTTTTATTTAACTGCAAATGTTCAGGACTTTTAAGGGTTCATTTAGTACTTTCCATGTAGGAAAGCGCTTTTAAGTCAAAGACAGAAACAATGATATAGTTCCTAACATGAAGCAATGGATACGAAAATAAAAATTTTAGTGATAGGCCAAAGAGGGATAACATTTCACTAATAATTTTCCTTTCCACTCCACAGAGTATGTCAAAAACCACACATGATCTCACAAAGTAGACATACAAAAATAAATATGCTAATAAACACATCTTTTATACATTTTGACTCATGAACATTAAGGATTAGGTTGGTTGCAAAATAGTAAAGTTGGATATCTTCAAGTGTATTGCAGAGCTGAGCTACATAACTGCCAATGAAGAATTATGAATTTACATGATCTGTGCTGAAAGTTCTGCACTGTGTTGTCCTGGTTAAGATGTCTGGCTCCTGGATTTGCCAAACACCATATGTATATTCATGTTCTCTCTACAAAGATAGAAATTGGATTCCTTTTGAATGTAGTGATATTCATTAAAAGAGCTCATTCTTACATCATGATGAGCTGTAATTTAGAGATATTTTCTCCTGCAAATGAAACGGAGCATTTTTCTATAACAACAGAGAGAATATTACACAAAATGGCCCACTATGCACCAATGCAGGAGAACACAGTATAGACTGCAGTATGAGGAGTATCTCTGCACCTTAATTAATCAATGCATCAAAAGAGATGATGGATGGGAAGTACTGTCAATGCTATATCTCTAATGTCTTTCCAGTATATTTTTTTTTTAAGTAAGGCATATACATCCTACAACATACAAACTTATACATTAGAGCAGAGATTTAACAATGGCAGATGAGCATAAAACATGAACAAACTGATATTGAAAATATGTTCATAATTAGGAAGGATAGACCGACTTCAGGAAAAAGCAAAATCCAAAACAATAAACCCCAAGTAATTAAAGAGTTATTTTCTGTGAGAAAGGGGCACCTGGAAATAATTCTTGTCAGTAACATTTAAATCTATATTAAATTAAGCTTTAATATTTACTGTAAAATTCCAAGTACAACAACAAAAACCACAATGCAATATTAAGTTCTTAAACTGTTGCGTTATTTTTCAGAAGAAAAGGCAATGATTCCTTTTACAATTGTGACTATAATAGTGAAGCTATTTGTGGGCTTCTCATTAACAGAGCAATAAAGTGTATAATTTACTCCTCTGGATTACCAAATACCTGTGCTGGCAAACAGACTTCACATATGTACTGATACAGTGATCTGTATTGAGCAGTGAGCATATACTTACGGGTTATTGAAGAATGACTGCAGAACTGCCTTTCTGAGCCATGGCCATGAAATAGGGTGTGTTGACATGTGACATTTCGAGGGTTGCTTGCCCTTGGTGTTAATCCATATCCACCTGATAGCTCACTCACTACCTACAGCAAATGATGGACACAGCTGACAAAGCCACTTTGGAATCTTGTTTTTGACAAGGAGCACATCTTTCAGCTTATTGGCTACTTCGAAATTCTTAGGATGATGCCTAGCATTGCTTTGATTAAGGCCAAATCACATGTTTCTGAGCAGTTCCTCAGCACCAGTCAGGAATTGCCACTGATCAGGCTATTTTGCACATGACTGCTCTCTGCTGTAGCTTGTGAAATGTTGATGATAAAAACACAGGCCTTGTGCTGCTACTTGTTCCAGTGTCTAAGATTGTCAAAGGCTTCAAGGCTGTTTGGGATCATGAATGTATCTCAAACCAAAGTGCATATGGCCTGATACCAAGTCAAGAATTTAGTCATTTCTATTTGAGTCTAAAGCTGCTTTCCTGTTTTATGTGACTTCAAGTGAAGTCATTAGGGACTGACAAGCAAGCAGAGATCTGTCTAACCTGAGAGAGGAATGTCTTTAGGCAAAAAAAAATTAAAAAGAAAAGAGAATTCTTCCATAACACCATTTATTGGAGGTTATGGAAGAATTCCATGGAGGCACAAAACTGGTGAACTCCCAGACACCGATATTTTACTGCCCAGTGGCTAGCCTCATTACACTCCATTTCTGCTGGGGATTATTTCATTCCACATGATTCCCTGGAGCACACACTCTCACTCATATGCTCTTGCAGAATGAAAATGGTAGCCAGATGAAAGGGGAAGCTCCTGGGGCCCTTGCCACCTGCCACCTATCCCAAATTTAGCCTCTCTTTTCAGCTGAAATAATTAACTAGCTGGGGACATTTTAGTGCCTTTTCATCACAAAGGTGTTTATATATAACATCTTTGTTTATATATAACTTGTATAGCTTGAGTAATTCTATACTGAGAAGCAAATAAAAATTTTCTGTGAAATGTTACACTGCTATCCAAGGGATTTGGTTCAGAACAGATTTCACAATACAGTAACTCTCATGTGGATTTTAAATGTGAGGTTTTTTGAGACTATGGGATGCTGCATCTTACTGTGGACTAAGGATATAAGCATCATATAATCAAAAATGGTCTTGCCACAAATCTTATCATTTTAAGGTGTTTTACTCAAGTGTTTCAGAGAAATAAGCAACAGGAATTAATATTTCGGATCCCAGAGTTAGAACAAGAGTGCCCCTTCCAGGCAAGTCAACTGGAAGCTTGTAAGGATGTGGGTGTGGGTCTCCAGAGGAGGTTGATCAGGATCACTGAGGCCTCTTGTTGTTCTCAGGGCCCTGACGTTTCATACCTTAATGTATATTGAGAATTTCTCTCACATATATAAATCTAAAGAGGAGACTTTCACCTCTGGTATACTGGAGCAAGACTCAAATGTCTATACACATTTACAGACAAACTTCCAGTGGTTTTGACATCTAAGGAGAAATTGAACTAAATTGGAAATAGGTTTCACAAAGTAATTAAATCACCTCCAGGGTTTAAGAACAAATTTCTGCTTTCTGTATTTTCCTGTGTAACAGAACATACCAGCTGTGGTACACACTGCATGCCCTCTTGTATATGATGGTGGGATTCAATCAGTCTGTATACAACTGCTTGAAAATAGCTTTCTAGTTTTGGTTAGTCCACTAGGCTCTCCTTTTCTGAGGACTGATCATAGAACCAAAAAACAGTTTGTGTTGGAACGGATCTTTAAAAGTCATCTTGTCAAACTCTCCCTGCAATACGCAGGAGCATCTTCAGCTGGATCAGGTGTCTGGAAGTCCTGTCCAGCCTTGAAAGTTTCCATGGATGGAGCATGAATTTCTTTTATAAAGAGCGAGACTTTCCATGTAAGCTTATTCTAAGGGAGGTGTTTAAAAGAAACACAAAAATGCAGTCTAATTCTGCCTTGCCTCACTTTTGCAGCCACCCAAGGAACACACTAACTAGCTTTTTAGATCACTAAAGTTATCTGTGAAAAGCCCTATTTCAGTAAGGAGAATGCTCTCTCAGATTGCTCAATAAATGTTACTGCTTGTCAACAGTTAATTATGTGAGGGAGAATCTTTCCCCTCAAATATAGTATTACACTTTCAACATGTATTAATCTCCATGAATGTTTTAAATGAGTTATATTTTTCTTTTACTTTGTACCAGTCACTTTCAAAATACTTTTTCCACCATAAATTTGTACTGGAAAGAAAGAAAAAAAATTCTTATAATTTTAGTAGTGAGGATCTATCAGTAACAGTCAAACTGCAAGTTAGAACAGTGTAGATACTTATATCAAAAGTACTACATGGTATGGTTGCATTTGATGGGAAAGAATTGGATTGGCAATCCAGGAGGGCCTAGGTCACTTTTAATTTTATGAACACATAGTGTTAGGAGAGGTATATATACTGACTATATTTATTATATTGTACCACTAGGTGCAGCATGTCTTAGCCTAGTTTTATTGTCTTACAGAGGTAACAGAATAAAATATCTCCCAGAGGAACTTAATTTATGACCTCAGAATACTCCTTTGCCACAGGATTCCCTTTTTTAATACATATATGAGCAAATTGGTCCACAATTACTCTACAATGTAAAACCTTACAATTAGGTGGTGTTTAATCCTCCCTAAAAATACTAATTCATTACTTTTCACAGAGGCTGATACAAAAACAAGATACTGATAGAAGCATCATGGTTCCTATGAGATGATAGAGCAAACAAACTTTTTAAAGTGACTGAGATGTCCTGTGAGAATCAGTTCATGATACGCTGGTATGTAGGAAACTAACTTAATTACTACTTTTAAGTTTTAAGAGTTTTAACTTTTTTTTTTTCTTTTTTCTTTTTTTTTTTTTCTGATTTTTTCTCCTAGCCTTCTCTCCGTAAACAATTTTAATATGCTATTAGACTGATGATTGAGTCAGATTTACTCATAGGCTTCTTAATCCTGTTTAATCCCATGGAATTGTTTTTGTTGTAATACAGAAAAGACAGTGGTTTTCCAGGCATGTCATGGTTTTAGATGGAGATGTGATTTTCCCTGTAGTGAAGATATGATAAAGTGACATTTTCTGCAGTTATATTTAAGGGCCTACTATGTAGTTTGAGATTTTAGTATTCTGTTTTTATTGTTTGGACTAATCTTTTGTAAGCTTGCTTACAAATCTTTGCTTCTACAGAGAGGCTAGCAGGGCTGTACTGTGATTTTCTTAATTACAGCACTGGATTTTTTTCATTGGATATTTTATGAAGTCAGTATCAGGCCAATGAACTCATTGTTCAAAACAAACAGGATTAAAGTTCCACTGTACTTCAACAATAAGGCCCTTCCTAAACCTCCCTTCAGAACCCACAATTTTACCTATCTTCACCAGGATCTTGCAAATTAAATTCTGATTCTGACCTTGCATAAGACCAGCATTTCCTCTATGAAAGTTTCAACAAATCCATCTCAACATTTCAGCTCTGACCTTCTCTCTCAGTGGAAGAAAGAACATTTCAAAAAATGTTAAGCAAATACCATGTGAAAATATGGGTGGTTTTTAGCTTCAAATCAGGCAGAAAGTTGGAGCGTTGACTTTATGGGATGACTTTCTCTAGGATAGATAATGAATCTCAGATAAGGCTCACCAGCTGCATGAAATAAAAGGTACGAATTTTAAACTTTTTTCTTGTTTTTTTTTCCTGGACAACATGCCTGTAAAACAGGAAAAAAAACAAACCCATTTGCTCTTATTTCCATGCTCAAAAGCACTGTTGTCAGGATCTTAGTACAGGCACTAAACCACATCATTGTAGTCAAGATGAGTGTACAATTCGAACAGAAAAGAACAATGGACATGATAGTGTTGGAAAAAAATATTCTGCCAAAGGAATTAAAGAGAGAAATAAAAACCTTAAACATTTTGTTTTTGAAAAGTTATGTGATGAATCTCAGTAAAAAATTGCTTTTATTTCTCATGATTTGAATTTCAGGATTTAAAGTTTCTTTAGACTTGAAGATTTAACAACTTACTTTACCAACCCAGATGAGTACTATCACATTTAAAAGCCACTGATTTTCAGCATACTGTCAGAGACTAATATATCTAGAGGATCAGAATCTATTTTACCTGTGATGTCAGTCCTCTTTCACTTAGGCATGAGCTGCGAGATTTTCTTGCTACTGAACAAACAGTCCAAGTTCACTGTAATTGCAAAGAAGATGAGAGTGTCTGTGTTTGGGAGGAGAGTTAAAACTATTGCAGCTTTTCATGCCAAAAAAAAATCTTCCTCTGTGTGAATTCAGTGTTGCTGGCAAAACCCCAGTCTGAAATAGGATTTCTTACTCACTTAACATATTCTTCTGGTGTGAAGGAATAATTTCCAACTAAACGTATTATGGAAAACTTCTTGCTGATTCTGCTAAGTACACTTATTGAAAATTAGTTTTACTAATTGCCAAATATATTTCTTTTCCAAATGTTTGTACCTTGATTCTAGCCAGCAGGCATGACATACACTGATGGGTAGAGGAGGTATGAATCAAACCATGAGATAAGTTGCAACCTTTTATATTGCTTCTGAAATTAATAGATCCTCACAGGTATCATATGTAATATATAGTTCTGCATAAATAATCTGTTAATGAGATTTCTGTTTCTGTTCATTTCCATCAGAATAAAATTTAATGACAAGGTAAAAACAAATTAATTACATGATACATGTAGTCTTGCACTTCCAATTGCACCTCAAATTATTGTGTTAGTAATGTACAGAATACATGCTTAAAAACTAGTTTTTCAAAAGCAGAACTTACCTGAACTATGTCATGCCCGTGTTCCAACGTTTCTGAGAGTTATTGGAAAGTGTAATCCCTCCTAACTATATTCTGTAGTCTTCAGTTGGAACTGTTTTCTTTTCATAAGAGCATGACATTTTTCTCAGATTTTATTAATATCTTTATAACTACTAGACGGGAAAAGAGTAGCTGAGGTTACAGTGCCTCTAACAACTTAAATACTTAAGTTCTCCTCCCCTTTATAAAGAAAAGTTTTATACTTTTATAAAGTGAAAGTCATGTTAC